TTATTATTTAACCGATCGGGAGAAGATATATTTGGTCGTAAGAAAAGATTTCTATTGATTGTATTGCAATGTAAATTTATAATTAATATAAAATTAATTATTTATCTTTACAGAAACTAACAAAATTAAAACGATCCTTAGATTGATTCAGTTAATTGTTATTTATCACTTACTTGTACCGATCTACTCTCTTTTATAAGATATAAATTTAACCACGGGCGCGGATTTTACTATTCATCATTTCGACATCGATTCGACTGAAACTAAACACAGTCAATTTATACATATAGCCAACAAAATGCTTCTAGAAAATCTTGAATTGCGGAATTTAGACTCTACGCCAATACTCGAAACATCTAGATCTCATTGGCGGGTCCGTGAAGTTAAATAATGTTGAAACTAAGTGCAATGTTAGTGCCGCTATCTTTGTGACGGCATGTACCTATAGTAAAAAGATTGACCAAAAAATGAACTACCTATATGAAACTGTTGCATTTCGAGGCATTAAATGTCACTATCTTGAGTACTAACACCACTCTCATTTCCACTTGTACCACCTTCATTGTCGTTTTGACACTCCCAACAGCACGTTTTAGCGTATTTTCCTCAAAGTGAAAAATCGCTATTGGCTGCACTTTGACGTCTGTCCGTCACACGTATTCCTTCTAAACCACTGAACCGATTTGGCGACATAGGACTCATTTGAAAGGGCTTGGTCCAAGGATTCCGTGCGTAACCATATTTTTTGGTTATGCGTATGCGCAGTGTCAAAAATTTAGTTTAACGCATGTGCGATGCTAACTTTTTAATTTATGAAGATATGTAAATGAAACTTTATATGTAAACACTATACTACGAATATAAGTAAACTTAACGACGTTTCTAAAATGTTGTTTTGCGCATGCGTAATGGCAACTTTCTTATTTATGAAAGCAGTTCAATGAAATGTTATACATAGACATTTGGAATAAAGACAAATCTCACACCAGTTGCAAAATTTGGTTTTGCGCATGCGCAATGCCAACTTCCTTAGTTACTGAAGCATTTAAATGAAATTTAATACATAGGCACTTGGAATACAAGCAAATCTAAGACCGGTCTTAAAATTTGGTTTTGCACATGCGCAATGGCAACTTTCTTATTTATGAAAGCAGTTAAACAAAATCTCATATGTAGGCACCTTAAATGAAACTGAAACTAATACCGGTTTCAAAATTACTATTAATAAAAGTGAAACTAATGCCCATTCAAAATTTGTATGCATTTGTATACGCTTCACTATTTTTCATTGAACTGTATAGACTTCGACGATAGGCGGCTCATTTGAAAGAGAATGGGTAAAGATCTCGTGCTTACCGGTATTTTTTCCTGGTCCAAATCATCATAACTCCATTATTTTAAGAACTATTGAAAAAGACAAAAATTTTCAAAACTATCTATCAGCCCTAAAACATTTGTATTTGCAATTATTTTCTTTTTCAAATAACAAAATAGCGATTGATCAAAAATTAAAAAAAAATAAATTTTGATAACCACCTCATCGATTTTTGAAACATTTCTAAAATCCCTCCACTATCTACTACAGCATTTGCCTACATTTTTTCAATTTTTTTTCATTTTCGATTTCCAAAGTGCCCTCCATCGCAGGATAGATTGAATAAAAACGTTTGGGACAAATGTTGTAGTAGATAGTGGAGGGATTTTTAAATATTTTACTTTCAAAAATCGATGGGATAATTATCAAAAAATGTTTTTTTTTTAATTTTTGAACGGCCGTTATTATAAAATAATTATAAATATAAATTCTTTAGAGAGCTTAGACAGCTTTGAAAAAAAATTTTTTTTTCAATACTTAAAATAAGGGACTTATGACGATTTTTCCAAAAACAAAAGAACGCCAATAACTCCGAACCGACCGTAAATTGGAATTAAGAACACTTGTTTATTTTAATGAGTTGTAAATGCCGTTGTAACGACTTAGTATTAACACCCTGTTTACCCAAAATTTGAACAAAATCCGTCGAGCTGTTATCCCGGAAAACTGCATATGTACAGGGTGAGTTAACGATTGCGCGGAGTAACTTAATGCCTCGAAGATAAGATTTTTGAATAGAGTGCTTTTGTATTATGATATGGTTGCATATTCTCCACATTTTAAAAATATTTGGAATTATACAGGGTGCGCCCCAAATGGTACATTTTTTGAATAGAACCCCCTGTATTTGAATGCATTTTTGAATTCTACGTGTAATTGTACATCTTTTTTATTATATGGTTAATATCCGAAAAGATAGTAGTTTTAAAGATAATTCGATTTTTAAGAAAAATTGGGCATTTTGCAAGCGTCAGTATATATTGTCAAAGTTATTACTTAAATTTTGATTCCAGGTTTTATATCTTTTATCCTGGGTTAAGTAAAAGTCAAATAAATACATCTACATTACAGCCTACAGGGTGTTTTTTGTCTAGATCCAAAGTTACAAAACTTCATATTAAAAATCTTACTTTTTTAAATGTAACACCCTGTATATTTTTCTGTCATCTTTTAGCTCCTCCAAAACCTTCAACTTTTGATAATAATGCCTATACCTATCTCTGATAGTTTTCGAAATATCTTGGTTTTCCTGGTTTTTATATTCTAATCTTAAATAAGTTAATATATGTAATTTACATAATATGGAGGTGGTCGTGCAAAAAAAGACAATTTTTATCTATCTCGTTCAAAGATAAAATCATATTTATTAATTCATTATTCTATTAATTCATTTAAGTCTATAAAAACTGGAGAATAAATTTGATAGTAAAAACAAACTTTTTTCTACTTTTTATATTTTAATTTGAAATAAGTTATAATTTACATAATAACGAGGTGAATATGAAAAAAAATGAAACAAATGTCACTGACTGGATGACATTAAAAGTTAAATTAAATTTGCTTTGTAGTCAAATGTTTTTACTTATTCTCCAGTTTTTGGACCTAAAATAAATTGTTTGAAAAATAAATTAATCGATATGATTTTCGTTTTGGACGAGATAGATAAAAATTACCTTTTTTGCATGGCCACCTCACAATTATGTAAATTACATATAACTTATTTAAGATTAGAATATAAAAACCAGGAAAACCAAGATATTTCGAAAACTATCAGAGATAGGTATAGCTATTATTATCAAAAGTTGAAGGTTTTTGGAGGAGCTAAATGATGACAAGAAAATATACAAGGTGTTCCATTTAAAAAAGTGAGATTTTTTAATACGAAGTTTTGTAACTTTGGATCTACAAAAAAACACCCTGTAACCTATTTTTTTAATGTAGATGTATTTATTTGACTTTTACTTAACCCAGGATAAAAGATATAAAACCTGGAATCAAAATTTAAGTAATAACTTTGACAATATATACTGACGCTTGCAAAATGCCCAATTTTTCTTAAAAATCGAATTATCTTTAAAACTACTATATTTTCGGATATTAACAATATAATAAAAAAGACGTACGATTACACGTAGAATTCAAAAATTCATTCAAATACAGGGAGTTCTATTTTAAAAATGTACCATTTGGGGGCCCTACTTTGTCGGCGCACCCTGTATAATCGTTGACTCACCCTGTACATATGTACGTACATTTTATTCCTTAAAAGCTGCTTAAAATGATCTGAAACGTCTACATGAAATGAAATTTTGACCAAAAAACGGTGATCGCAATGGCTCCCTAGCTCAAGCTAGGAAAACCGGACGTCGAGCTATAAAGCTTGCCTGTTAGAAGTGCAAGATGCAACTTTAAAAAACGCCCTTCTGTTCCGTAATTCATAAAAAGTGTATGTCCTAATAGGATGGAAATCTGCAGACAGTAAACCTGAGAAAATACGAAAAACGACAAATAAATTGAAGTCAGCACAGCTGTAATCATCTTCCACAACCGTTCATGGACCGTCACCGCTCTAACTTTCTAAGTGAGAAAGATTTTCAACAGCTTCAAAAAAATTTAAAGGATCCCTGGAACTGGAAAAAATTACTAAAACGCTCTAAAAGGCATTTGTTTGGTAAAGTATTGAAGTTTTTCAGGACCAATGAAACACTCTTCAGTCTTCACTACACCCGAAGAGGTTTTTAGGACTTTTGCAAGGTTTTGTACTCCATTCCATATCTCTCTATGCTATTATAACACAGCCGTATAGGATTCCATATCACGCATTCAAGAGTCTATAAATTTATGGTCCTTTCGCAGGTAGGTACTATACTCTTTCAGATCTTTCTCTGCCCTAAATCTTTCTTTGCATGATTTTCCGTTTGTTGAAATTTTTAGGAATCTTTCTCAGAAATCTTCGCAATTGTTTTAAAAACCGATAATGGATTCTGAAAGTGCCACCTGCGTGGTTCAGTTAATAGGTGCCATATTGCTGTCTGTCTGTTCGTATGTACGATAACTTTGATTAGTAACATCCGATCGCTTTGAGGATTGGTACCCATAAAGCAAGGTCGCTATTGTTTTTCAGCTACGTATAGTTGTAAAAATGATGAATGGGTGAAGATCTCAAGGGCCGTTTGGTAGGTAGATATTCAGTTGTATCGGATGTAAGTAGTACGATTGAATTGTAGTACCATTGAATTGTATTTCCTCTATGGTATTAGCTACTTAGTAATAATTTACTTGTACCTATCAAAGAGTGTAGTTTTGTGATACTTTGGTAATATTAATTGACAGTCATATTGTGCAATGCTTTCCTCCCTACTTTTTCAGTTGAGAGCTTTTTCGAATCCAAAATAAACTATAAACGTCCGTGCTGCAGACAGGCAAATTATGTTACTTTGTCTACTATTAGTACGTATTAAAGTATGTAAATGTATTATGAAAGAAAAGAAATGCCTACTTGAAATTAACAAAAAACAGGTGTACGTGTTCGTTATTTGATTGTCTTTACAAAAATGCATACTCGCCGCTTACTCGTACGTGATATAGGTAGGTACATACTGCAACTGCAGTTTCATTGACCTACCTGAAAGTCATTATTGTAATGTAGCAATTAGCGTATAGCAAAATATGTATCATATACCAAATGTATTCTTATGCCAGTAATATCTTATTTCATGATTTCTTGTTGTATGTGCATTTTTTAAACCAAGTACCTCAACGACTGCAATTTCAGTAATGCAACATTACCTACTTTGTCACGAACGTTGAACCGTTTTCGAAAAATTCGCTCGTGAAGTTTTGACATCATCTATCTCTTCCAGACGTCCCAATCGCCCTATGTGAGTACAATCCTCTGACAATCTGTTCTTGAGATATAATGAATTATTTATATCCGATAAGGATAAGGAGTCGAGGAGGGGGGGGGGCTATGGTTGGTAGAAATTCATTCCTTTCGTTGAGACCTTTCATTAGAGCACCATGAAGGATATAACAAGTTTCACCCCCCCCCCCCCAACACCTCTTTTGATAAGGAGTAAAGTAGTTGGTAGAAAACAGTCCGTCATTGGAATGCCATATCCCTCCCTCCTCCCCCCAGCCACCAACTGATCCCGGAAAGGAGTTGCGCAGGAAGGTTATACTTTGTACAAACGAGTTCATTTCGGTGAGACCTTTCATTAGAATACAATGAAGGTTAGAAACGGGTGTTCCCCCCCTCCTTTTCACAAATTTTACTTGTCACCACTGAACACATGCACGTTTTACATTCAAAAACAGCAACTCAGGACATTATTCATGGGGGGGGGGGGGCTCCCCCTTCAGACACCGAACTTTGATGACCGTCTGGCACACCTTCAAGGTATAGGGCACCTATTGCAAAAAATTCCAGGAGTGCAGGACCATATCCTTCTAAAAGTAGTTCAACACCGCAGAAATGGGTTCGGACGGACGGACAAAATGCAAAACAAGGGCATTTTTTTTAATTCTTAAAAAATGCGCTAAAATGGTTAAAGTGATGCACAAGAATCATGTTAAAAACATGGGAATTTATGTATATGGTTTTTCCCTATGTCTACTTTCAAAAGACAAAATTAGATGTTTATTTGTTTTAAAAAGTTATTTTGGATGCCTAAAATTAGGCGCCCTTCAGAACGATTTTGTCTTTTGTATAGAGAAAAACAATTCTATACCATACTTCTTAATAAGTAGCACTGTATATGTGTTGGGCCTGACATTGGCATTTCAGATTAGGTCACATATTTCGAAAGTTTGTTCAACACAAATCACACATCAATATTTTTTCTGGACCAGATTCCAAGACCATCGCCTTTGTGAATGGATCTGAAGCAAGTTAAATTCATTATTGTAGTGAATAGTCTAGAAACCCGACATCTTTCCGGGAAATACGACGTGTTCGTTCTAGAACATTCGGAATCACTCGAGAACAATTGTTGTTTGCTCTATAAGCAAATCGAATTGTGTTTCGAGTTAGTCCTGAATTCGACTCCCTCCACTCTATTGATTTCGATTCGACACGACTCGCGGTTGTAATTGTTACGGTTGCGGTGTCCGTTTTCTCCTCGACTTCTCCTATATCCCATCGTATTTACTGGTATTCTTTCGTTTTGACGTCTTTGTTCGATTCCATCTCTTGTCGGTTTTCATTATTCCATCTTTTGACTCAAAATTCGACTCTAGACTTCTCGTGGAAATAGGCGTCTTCGCGGATGGCGGGTTTTAGGTGTGTCGTCTCGCTCAGTCAATACTCATGGTCGACATAATTACTGTTTCGGTGGTTAAATTCTGGAAAATTGCTCTACGCTCTAGCTCTACTGTGAAGAGCCGGCCAGGACCTGGTACTGTCTTCTTGAAATTAAGTGGGCTGTTGGTTCTGAAGTTTCCGTCAAACTTCTTTGTTTTCTGATATAGAGCTTCAGCTTTGTAAATGATAACTGATGGGGTGCTGCTTGTTACTCTTCGCGACTTCTCCATTTATCCTTCAAGTTTCCAATGTCGATATCATGCTTGACAATCTTTCCTTTATGTTAATTTTTGTTTCCATCTCGATTTCTCCGACCACATTCTTAACTCGCTCTCTGAAATTTTCATGCTTCTCCTGCATCTATAGTATCAAGTTGTCTTGGTCTACCAATCTAGGTTCTAGATTTTCTTCCGACTAGGGGTAGACTTTCTTTTATTTCTGGTTAATTCCGGTTTGGATTTCTAGTCGACTTTCCCTTATCTCTTTTCGAGTCTCTCCCATCAGTGCCCTTCGCCCTCCAAACTCCAACGCTGGGGTTGAGGCTGACTTGCTGTTATTTTGTACCACACGCAGTGCTCTCTGCAGATGTTTCCGGCTCCTACACGGGTAAATATATACAAAATCGAAAAAGGTAACGAAATAATTAGAAACAATTTTAGTCTTTTAGTATGCGGGAGTTAAATTGTAGTGGAGCGCTGATGCTAAATAAATAACATGTGCCCAAGTTATATAAATAAATACACTTTTCCCAATTAATTTTTTTAAATGTGATTGTTGATTATTGTGCGAATAATTAAATATAAATAAATTGGTTTAAAGTTTGTTTTAAAATGAGAGTTTCGTTCTGTTCATTTTACTGAACACATGAAGGCGTTTCGATTAGGCATTAACATTGTTCCAGTATTTAAACAATTGTACTAATCTAAAGTTCCTGAATGTAGAGGTGATTGATATAGTGAGATTTAAGTACCTTTACCACACGCATTCTGAGAATTGACTTAGACAATATGAAAAACATGAGAGTTCTTATAAATTTTACGATCGCTGCACGTAGAAAGCGATATAAAAACCCGTTTATTATTATTATTCCCTATACCTTGACATTAAAATTATTAAACAAAGAAATTAAACTTTCGAAAAGATTAATTTAATTTTTTATTTTCATGTGTGTATATTTTATTGTAAAATTAAAATTAGTAAAATAAATTAACAATTTCGAAACTGCGGGGCATAATATAACCAAGGACCGCCTTCAATATTTTATGTCTCCTATTACCATTTGTTGGCAAATTACATACCTCAAAATGAGGATGGCGATTTCTCTTGTAGGGAAATGGTTACGCCTGAAAAATCTCTTTACTGAATGGCAAATTTAATACAATAAAAGTAAACCTCCAATAATTGGAATATATGTAGTCGGGCATGTATTAGCAATAAATGTTACGATTCCAATTTCTTATTTATGTTCCTCATACTAAATTCTCTAGCTCTAGATGTGGTGAATCTTCAACGTCCCAATTATGTAAGCAGAAACATTTTTACCACATTTCAATTTAAACAAGTATAAATTGTGCACTCTTGTGCAGATAAAGGGCATTTTTTTTTAACGAAATAGCTTTTGTTTTACATCACCAATGGATATATTTCTTGCAGACAATCCGTTCTTGAGGTATAAGGGAATATATCCGATCACCATAAGAGGTCGAGGAGGAGGACTATGGTTGGTAGGAATTAATTCCTTTCGTGGAAACCTTTCATTAGAGTAACCATGAAGGATAAAACTAGTTCCACTACCCCCCCCCCTCCACCCCGTACTTTGACGGTTCCTTTCGTTGAGTACAAGCTCATATTTTAAAAATTCAAAACAAATTTTGAAAATTGAAAACTTGAATTTATGGGATTATTTAATTCTATGAATTTTCGGTTTCAAAATGCTTGAAATTATGGGAATTTGATATAGAATTTTTTTAATGTTAGCAAATTGAAATTTTAGAAGATTGAAATTCTGAGCTTGAAATTTAAAGGTTATTTAAATGTTGTCAATTTTAAGATTTTATGTATTTTGAGAATTTTGAGAATACGGGATTTTGAAGTGTAAGGAATTTTTAATTCTGGGAAGTTGAAATTTGGCTGCTATTTGAATGTTGGGACATACGAGATTTTAAGATTTTTGAAGATTTGAAATTATGGGATTCTTGAAATCTTGGGAGTTTAGGAGTAATTAGGACTATTGAAATTTTGAAACTTACGATTTAGGAAATTTTGTTGTTTACAGATTTTAAATGGTCAGATTTTTAAATTTTAAACAGTTGAAATTCAGAGATTTTTGATATGTTAAGAATTTGAAATTTGGTAGTTATTTAGATGTTAAACATGTTGAGACTTTTATGAATTTAAAATTTTAAATCTTTAAATTTCTAAAATTTGAAATTTTGGTTTTTATTTTGCCACGGTGACATTTGGAAAATTTGCTATTCTTAAAATCTGAAAAATTTAGTTTCCTAAATTTTGCGAAAATTGAAATTTTACAAATTTGATATTCTAGGAATTTGAAATTTTTATATTTTTAAATTAGTTTTTAAAATTTTGGGAATTTCGAAATTTTCGGAATTTGAGATTTTGTGAACCTCACATTTTGCGTTATTGGATTTTGAGATTTCACGATATGAACTGTAGAAATTAGAAATGTTGGGATTTCTGAAAATTTGTCAATTCGAAATTGTGGGCTTTTAGATATATAATCTAAGAAAATTAAATTTTATAAAGTTAATATATTGAGATTGCTGAAACATTGTCTGGCACGTTGCAAACAAATTTATATTTTTTATCGTATTTATTTTCAGTTTTTGATATTTTCCGTACCTATATTTTTTTACTTTTTTAAAGAATGTTACCTTACATTAAACATTTAATATAACTGAGCGCATTCTCGAACTAGTAGCGTCTCAACGAAAGCGGACGGACGGACAAAGTGGCCACAATAGCGCGTTTTTTTTTGTGGAAATGCGCTAAAAAGGGAAAAAAACGAACTAAAACTATAAAAAAAAGCATAACAACCAATAAGATTCTCTCAATTGATAAAAAAAAACCTAATAATAATAAAAATGTTTTGCTCAGCATGATATGAATTGTAACGTAGCGCCTATTTTCCACCTTGAAGTTTCATACACGAAGTTATGATCACGCCGTATATTTGTCGAGTCGACCAGCTCTACTGAACACCTGGGATTTAGAAGCGATTTAAGTTGGGCGCTTAGTTAGAATTAACGAGAATTAATTTAAATTAACGTGAATCAATTTGAATTTATATATCACTTTCAAGGAACACCAAACT